ACCTACATGCAGTATGTGGCTCACTTTGGTCCGGTAAGGTTTTGAGGTTGGGTTTATTGTGTGAACAAAGATAGTGCCCAGAGAATGGCGAGTGAGATTGTGCTTGATCGTGGTTGCGGATGTGGTGATCGTGCACAAGTGAACTGATCTGAAAGCACAAGTGCTCGTTTAAGTAAAACAAAGACGGCTCGTGACAACAGAACAATGATTAGCAAGCCAGCGTGCGGGAGCTGGGGGAGGTGGTGTGAGAAGACTATATTGCGTCAGCGTGGTTAGTTCTCAAGGTGATTAAAACCATGGTGGCCCAACTGTACCCTTAAGGAGCATAGGAAAAGCTTAATCAGAAGAAGACTCCTTTAAGTGCAAAACGATTAAGAACTGGCTACCTTGTTTTACTTTATAAAAAGTAGGATTTAAAGAATGCTCGTATTGTTAAATAGTGCTCTGCCGTATGAACTGCTTTTGTGCTCGACAAGCTCTTGAAAAGTTAAACACCAGTGGAGTAATTATTATTTCAAAAATCTTCTGGAAAAAGCTGAGATATTTTGAGTGGACGAACATGAGCAAATGAATTATTGCCAGTAAAACAATTTAAAATAAATTATTAATTGAAAAAGCGCCCCCTTAATTTGTTAATAAATTATTAACAAACATATATAATTAGATTTTCAATGCATACTTTGAAGCCGAACCACAGTAAAAATTCAATGATATAGTTTTAACCAATGGATGGATGGATACTGAAGAGCAAATCTGAAAGATATTTATTCCAAATGGCAGGCGTTTTAATGGCTACCATTAGTCCTTTAGTTGACTTCAGGCTTCACTGAGAGGAAGGAATATCAAAGTGAAAATAGTCGAGTTGGGGGGGGGGGTGGGAACAGAAGGGTGTTTCAAAGATGTAAAAGAGACAGACACAAAGGAAGTAAAAAAGGTAAGATGTGTACTGTGGAAGTGGTGGGATATGACATAGAGTGGGGTGATGGTAGTTTGAAGTCAGAAGTTAACTGTCAGTTTATAGACTTTTTTGCCGTATGAGTATACGTTGACCAGGGTGCACCACTTGGAGGTAAGTCTATCTCACGCCCCCAAATCTGAAAGATAGCTAACAACCAATATATGCACACGTATCACTGTCAATTTAAACACATTTTTTGGCCACTTGTCATCGTGTACAATCTAAAAGTCCTACTTCAGTCATCGCATCAAGTCTAAAATATGAGTGTGACTGTTTTGAAATAAAGTGACCAGGCTTTAAACGATTGCAAGCTTCTGAAAGAGGCAGATCAGTTTTGAATACTCTTCTTAAATTGTAATTTTCTTGCACTCTCCATATCATGCCTCTTTGTTTTACACCATGAAGCAGTAAGGAAATTGAAATTCAAAACATTTCCGCTAACTTAGTCACATGGTCTCAGAATTCGTGCGATTTAAGGATTGAGAAGAGATTTTCATACGACAATTATCAATAATAATATTAAGATCAAGTATTTAGACAAAGCATAATAATTATAATTAATACCTTAAATATCCTAAGTAATACTATAAGGACTTGACAACAAGGTTGTGAAGTTACTAAATACTTTGAGTATTCAATTAGCGTAATATTACCATTTATCTTGGAAAGCACGTTCAAGTCGTACGAAGAGAATGCACCTACAAATGTTATTTCAGAAGAGAGAAATGAAATAAGCCTTTTGGATAACTATCTTTCAAAAGCACTGAATGTTGTGGACGAGTATTTCCTCTCACAAAGAGAACACGTGAGTTGACCATTTGGCGAATACGGCACAGTTTGAATCCAAAAGAAAATCAAATGAGTAAGACTTTTACATCTCGACTTTCTTCTCAAGATCATTCTGGTCTCCTCTCCACAATCTTCTCGAGTACTCTTTGTTGAGCTCTTTCAACTGCTTCCCATGACTACAAATTGTGCACTTTTTTGTTTTATTACAGTGCGTAAGTGTACAAATAGTAATCATAATCATAATGCAGAAGAAGAAAATGATGATGATGAAGGTTGCAAGTTCCGTCAAGGTGATGGCGTACTCAGCCGTTAAGAAAATTTTATTCCCAATCAAAGCCACTCTAAGACACAACCTAATTATACTGGGAATTCCATTACGAAACCAATGCTTTCCACAGAGTCTTACATTATCTTAGTGACTTATCCCAAACGAGGAGACCAAGTGGTAAGCAGGAGACAGAATTGATTGAAGATGAATGGGTGTCGAAAGAGTGGAGAAGTGGACAAATAACTTGGGAAGTGAGAGGAGAGTGTCAGTATTGAATGGACAGTGTCTGATTTACTCCTGTTTGAGTCATTGCGTGACCAATTGAATGAGAAGACATTGAGAGCATAAGTCTGTGTATATAGTAGGCAATCTTTTCTCTTGTCAACTGACATCGATTTCAAATCCTTCTCATTTTTCATCAATATGCAGTTAAGAATATTTCAAGTTGTGAAATTTTATATAGAATGTACCAATTGATACCCAAATCAAGTATAACTTAGTTTTTAGGATAAAAGACTGCATATGTCCCCCTTTCACTGTAATTATTTCACGATATCTATATTTAGTCGTAGTTTCGTGCCGAAATCTTGCCCCTACACAAATACACTGCAAAAATATCGTTTGAATATAAAAGCAATAAAATGCCATTTTAATCACCCTCAAACGTCAAGTATGCAGTTATTTTGGCAACCCATTCCTGAGAATTAACTTGCTCTCTTTAATTGTAGCCTGTCGTGGGTGAACTTAGCTCCCAATTATGAAAGTTAATTATGATTATTAGCACATCTATTGACTAGAGCAATCCCATAATAAACTAATGACCCTCTTGAAGGCCATTCTGATCTCACAACGTTGGCATTTTCAAGAGAGGGAGGGGGAGAGAGTGAGAGGGAGAGAGGGAAGGAGGGGTGGGGGGGGGGGGGGGGGGGTGGGGAGAGAAAAGGAGTATGAGTGGGCATTGGAATGCAGATCTTCCTTCTTTGTTGGAAATCGGATGCTACTTCTACGTCAACACTGCCTAATAACGATGGACACATCATCGGCATTGATGCCGGTGTTAAGATGTTGAGATTTAAGTGTGAAGTGGTTTAGAATTTTAATGAGGCACCATTTGGTTCGGTTACCCTCTATCCCTAAAGATAGATGCTAAGGTAAATTATTTTGCTTTCAGGCAGTTTCGCTTTCCTCTTCTTATTTTCTCTATGATCTGTCCATGCAGCAATATAATGTGCAGACGCACAACTGGTTTGATACTCTGGAAGGAACCTTGATTTTAAAGTGTTCCCATTGATTATGTATAATCTGAGTTTGTTAATACTTTTCTTTAAATGCTATATGTCATACAGAGAAGAAATATGGCTTTACTTTCTATATAATTAAGTTTATAAAATAATCAATACAATAAAAATTTCAAATTCCTTTACGGCGTGGACAAGTTCTAAAATTGAAAGAAAAATTACATTCGATTTTGAAGACTTAAGCAAACGAATTCTTTAAATTGATTCAAGTTAATTTAACCATTATATAATATTCAGAGTTAAATCTTGTTAATTATAGCCTTAATGACTTATGAAAAATTAATAAATGATTCAATTTCTTATTTTTATTTTAGCAAATAGTATAAATTACCCTTTAAACATTTCTGTTTTGGAAAATTGGTGCCTAGTACTCACCACAATTTCTATGAGGTCACAACTAATGAGAATTTTCAAATTGGTTTATGAGTTTCCAAGTTGCGTTTTTTTTCACATTTAAATTCTCTTCAATTGGATTCGCAAAAACCTTATTATTTCTTAACTTTACTTAATGGTGGCATTTAAATCACATTACTGTGGAAAGAAAAATTGAATTCTGAAAATGTTTGCTCCTCTCAAAGGAATTTAAAATAATTTTAAAATTTGTAGTATCTTTAATCATAAAATGGCTAAACACAAATGTCATGAAAGAAGAGAATTTTTGAAATTAGCACGTTTTTTCCAAAACAATGTTGGCAAGTACATTTTTTACTGAAGGGCGATTCATAGATCTGATACGCATTATGACTATTCACAAAAATTCCATTTAAAAGGAACTCCTATTAAGTAAAGGTTACAGGTTATCGTATTTGATAGGGATTTTACCTCGTTCAGATTTATTTCATTCATTTTATATATTTTTATTGGGGTGTGCGATAGACTTACCTCCACGTGGTGCACCCTGGGCAACGTATACTCATACGGTAAAAGTCTATTAACCGGTAGTTGACTTCTCACTTCAAACTACCATGGCCCGACTATTTGTCATATTCGACCCCTTCCACAGTACTCATCTTACCTTTTTTCTCTACCTTTGTGTCTGTCTGCCTCTTTTACATCTGTAAATCGCTCTTCTGATCCCCACCCCTCGACTTTCTTCCACTTTGATGAACCTTCCTTCTGTGAAGCCCGAAGTGAGCTAAATGGCTAATGATAACTATCATAACGCCTGCCATTTGAAATAAATAAATATATTTTTACTAAACCATGCACTCATTATTTCTATTTATTGCATTGACGTTTTAAATAAACAATTTTTTACAAAATCTCTGAAATATTCAGTAGTTTCACCTCCCTGTAATTCTATTTTGTTTATTTCCGATTTAAAGTAGAGACAAAATCGAAATTCATCTTCCTCAAAAATATAATAAATTCTCAAAGAAAATAGTAAACTCGCTTTTATTGATAATGCAAAAGACAAAGCCTATTTCTGCTTAAATTTCAATTGCATTCAAAGTAATTGAACCTTTCATGATTTCGACCAATCATTTGGACCAAAACGCGAGCCAATAGGAGTCTCACAACGGCGTGGTCAAATGAGTCGACATTGTGACGACCTTTCCTACTTGGTTGGCTTCACCTCCAACACCACCTCCTCCTCTTCGTTGCTTTTTTTAACTCACCCCCTTGAGCGGTGCGTATCGGTCCCTTAAAAGGCAGAGTTGTGATCACTGTAGGAGCATGTACCGGTATGACGAGACCTCAACAGGACCACGTCACCACAGCTCTCTCACTCACAAGCCGCCACCACCTCCTCCTCCTTCTTATGCTCCTTCTCCTCCTCACCACAAATCCCTTCCACGTAAATGGTCAAACAGATCTCCCCTACTATGACGACTCTCGCTTATCTCTTCAACAGATGGAGGACACCTTTAAGGCAACTGAAAGAGCTCTCAAATTCTTGATAAGCCACTATAGGGGCTTGAACTTGGATGCTGGTTTAGGCGTAAGACTTATGCAAGGTTAGTATACTAGCTTGTTTTGTTAGTAAGTGAGTGGACTAATTTTGTTCCCGCTGATATCCTAGCTTCGTATTGTTCAAACCAAGACTAATCTGAATTCGTATGATCTTTTCTTATTGCGTATTTACAAAACATGGTTTTACTACTTTGTCACGTATCATATTTACTAGCTATTTTACAAAATTTATTAATTCTCATTTTGGTGATTGTAAAGACGTTATTATGAAGTGAACTTAAAAATGCGTTAATGGCATTAATTTAATCCCATTTGTGTTAAGAGGAATCCAAAATGCACAACTGAATGCCTCTTTCGATTGTCTAATTAGTTAATATATTCAAATTATTATTATTATTCATTATTTGTTTCGTATCATGAAAATCAAAAGGGAGAAGAGTTGGTAATTTCCTCCTTCTTCCTAAATAGTTTGGTTAAAAATAGGAATATTTGGGATTTTTGGCGTATTCCATAGTGTCCAAAAGCGGCTACCAATACCCTGGCGACTTGATAAATTATAAATTCAAATTTGATAAGAGCGGGCGAATGACACAGCTTTTGGCAAATTGGTTTGCTATTCACTATTGGTCTAAAGCCAAATTCCATATATTTTTTTAACAGACAAACATACTCTTGCCTTGAGATATTCTGGTATTCAGTAATCAAATCAACATTACCTTTAACTAACTACATTTCATAAACTTCTCAGCTCAGATTATTTAATCTTAAAGCTTTTCAAAACTTATGACAAATTATGTTTCGTTTGAGTTTATAATACTTAGGGTTAAATTTAGGAGGCCATAAATGTTCCTCAATGCTCAATAAGGTTATTAAGGTGATTTAAATAATAACTATCAAAATAAAATGACAGATTGTTCTTGCCGGTCACATTTTTTTAAATAATCGTGAAACAGTACAATAGTGAGCAATTGGCTTAATATTTCATTAATTTCAGGCTAAGAAATCTGTCAAATGAATATTGTCGAATTTAAGCGAAATGATGCAAAAGTTATTAAATAAATTTCTCACAAATATGCCCTATTATTTGCCATTAAAATCCACCCATCTAAGTGCCTCATTGAAAAGGATTTCAAGTAGAAATCCGCTTAAAATGAGCGCGCGCGTTTGTTTTAAATCACATGTCACAGGGAAAATGTTAGCAGATTTGGTTCATTTATTTATTTAGTCGGTGATTTTAAAAGCTAAGTATAGCTTCGCAAGAACTGATTGCATCAATACACCTCATCTTTTTAATTTTCGCATTAAATTAATTCAAAAGGCGATCAAATAAATTTTGAGTAGATTTGGAGATCTCTATTTGAAGAGTATCTAAAAATGCTCTACTATTTTCTTCTCATTCTTCCTTAATTCTTGAGTCTTCGATTTCCACTTGTTATTTCATCTAGATAAATGCAAAAAATAATTTATATTAAAATCTCAAGAAATTTTTACCTTGTGCTTAAATCTCCCCCCCCCACACCCCCTCCCCCACCCCCGCGAATAGTAACATAATACCACATATCATGGATCGCGTGCAATATAGTCTGCTAATATTTTTAAGCTTGTAAAATGTCATTTCTCCCTCAGTTGAAAAGAAGTCTTTTAAGTATTATCATCTACATAGCAAAGGATCTAAGCAACGGAAATGGCTAATGAATCCCACAAAGGATTAATTGGAAAGAGGAGGAGTTGAATTCTGTTTGAACTTGAAAGCCGCGATTCGTTCGTATACTTAAAACAGAGCAAAGTTCATTTTTTAAGGCGGGTGGGGTGTTTAAACCTCATTATTTCACTTCCAGATTTATAGTATCAAGAACTAGTTATTAGCTAGATTTAATGTCATGGACGTTGGGGCTATCTCGATTAGCTCGATTATCTTCCACTTCTCAAAATCTGACAGATGAAAGAAGGGTAAATAAATATGACAAAGTGGTGAACCTTGATGTTTACTCCCACTTAAAAAAACAATCAACTTTCATTCTTTTGTTATCTGCTTTGAATAGCGATGGTAAGCTTTAATGCAAATAATATTGAAAAGAGGATACTCACTTAGATTAGAGAATTTAAACCATGTGCAATTAAAGCATCCACCAACATTTCAATAAATTAAATTATCTTTAAATCTCATCGTCTTACACAAAGTACATAAGTGGATATGGAGACATTATTTTGTGGCGCCTTTTAGGATACAAATTTTCATCTCTCTGCCTTTGAAGCAGTTTAGAACCTAATCCTCCTTTTATTTCACTAAGACAAGATCATAAATATTAATTTCATGCATTTATTTGTGCTACTCACCAGATAACTTTTTTTTTGATTTCTTGATTACATTTAAAAAAAATAAGTTTGCCATTAGGCGTATATTAAGGTCATATAAGTGGACAAATACCTCGGCATATGAGCCGTGATTTCTCTATAACCAATTAATCGATAATTATTGGTAAATTTGTTAGTTTGAAGTCATTACCTGATGCCAATGTTTTGTAACAAACGCTCCATTATGGAGGAAAAGGTTAAACTACGTCTATTCAGCAAGCAGGCTTCTAATCGTGTGTGCCTTGTTATTTAAAGCTGTCTACACCCAACTGATTGGCCTCTATGGAGTGAAACTGCCAAAGGAGATGCTTAAAAAAATGGAACAACTCGTAAGTCTGGCAGACGAAGCAGGAGCGTTGGCAGAGTTGAATAGCGCCATCAAAACGCCCTTCTACTATTCCAGTAAGATGATTTGTGCTGAAATTGCTTAACCGCACTATATGTGCGCCTAGTCACTTAGGTCGGGTTGGTTACTCGTAGTCCTTTGTTAGAAAATAAATAGACAAAAGAAGCTAATAAATATTCCATTTTTTATGGCTATTAAAACCTTTCAGATAATATCAAAACCATTATTTTGACGGTTGCTTAAGCTTTATTTATTTATATTAATTGTCAGGATTCGTGATAATTATCAATAGCCCTTTAGTTGACTTCAGGCTTCACAGAGGCGGAGGAGAGGAACATCAAAGTTACAAAAAGTCGAAGGGGGGGGACAAAAGAGTGATTCACAGGTGTAAAAGAGTGGTAGAATATGAAATACAGTGGGGTCATGGTGGTTTGAAGTCATAAGTCAACTATCGATTGTTCAGGGAGCACCACGTGGAAGTAATTCCATTGTACACCCCCCCCCCTAGCAAAACAGAGACGACTCGTTCGAGTTCGCATAGTACAAATCCAAGTAAATACTGATACCACCAGAAAATGTTAATTAGTTAACTTTGTTGGATAAAATGTTGTATTAAAGCGCTATATCATTAGTGCTAGATATGATGAGCACAATTTATTGTCCGTATTAATTTTGTTAAAAACTTGTTTTGCACGCAGTGAGCCCAACTAGCTCTCAGTCACTTCCTTTTCCCACCATATTCTTCTTCTCATTATTCTTCTTCCTTAGAAAACAGCTATTTGCTCCAGCCCAAGCAATGGCAATTTCTTTTACCAACAAGAGGACTAAAAATACTCCCACCAGTTAGTCTGCAAGATATAATAGAGAATGATGCCATTCAAGAGGATCAATGTGACGCCTGCTTTAGAGAGTTCATACCACGTGACTCGTATGTGCATTTTCCTTTATTCTTAACCTTTTTTCCCAAAATATCACAGTTCCAATATATATATATATATATATTGTTTGTTTTCTGTAGACACAGAGGCTGTGATATTTCCGACAGATGTTTCACTTATATGAACTGGCATAACCACTCCTCCTATAGTCTCACCCATCAAGTGTTGTACTACTTTATTGGTCTGGGGGTAAGGTTCTTCAGACTTTAATTTCTATTATCAATAAGAGTTTATGAGGACTTTTGAACAAATTTCATTAAAAAAATCAGCATAAATGTCATATATTAATTAGATATCTGAGCATTTTAATAGAATTCGATATTGTTTTGAAAGGAGAAGAGTGTTATTTCTGTGAGTTTGTTTTCGAATTTTATCACTTCGTTTAAAGTGCCAAGCATGGAATCGTATTTTCTTAATAGGTATTTGCATTCTAAGAATCAGAATGCGTAAATTTCAATGCTTATAGACCCGTCAATATGGTTATTTAAAAAAGGGCTTTGTTTTTCTTTTAGAAACTGAAAAATAAACAGATTAAATTTTCATGATAATAGGCGTATTTTGTGAAAAGGTGGAAAGTTTTCTCAGCATTATTTGATGAAAATTGTCTTTGACACTGGATTTAAACCACCTTAGGGGATATTGGTTGTTAAACTGACTGGTGACGGTTTGTGCACTTTTTCACATTTAAACGACTTTAAAGGGAAATGAACAGTATAATGCAATTTTCTTGATTTATTGTTTAAACTTAAAAAATGATTTCGTTTTCTCTGTTTAGGTGGTGGAGTTCTCAGCTTTCTCAGCAAGAAAGTGGGAAATTGAAAATTAACCATTTTATACCTTCTCACAAAAGAGGGGATTAATTGGGGAATTTTTTCTTAAAGCTCTACTCTCCCACACAGATCTACGCCCTACAATTATCAAGTTTACAGTTGGCATTAGGTGTAATTGAAAGTATTTTTAGTTTTTTTCAACAGGGAAAAGGTTGTCCTACAATAAAGTCTATGAGTTCGACAAATGGACATTTTACAATAACAAAATTTGAAAGAATTGAGGCTTCTACGTCATTTGTCGTATCCCTTAAATTAGTCCACCTTTAATAACAATGAATTGAATAGATAAGACAACCTGTTTCGGTAAGTTATGAAAACAGTTGGGTTAGAAGCATTAAATCTCGAAAAAAGCTTCACCAGCAAATTCAAACGAGAGGGGACATCAGACGCAAGTATGATAGACAGGAACACAAATATAGTGAAGAATTGGAAGATGGATGAGCATGGAATGCATGTAAAATATCACGTGAAGACGTGATATAGAGATTAAATTGGAATACTCTAGGAGGCATGGTCTAATGACATTTCGGATAGTTATAACAAATGAATGAGAATGTGTTTAGAGCCCCTAAATTAAATCGAAGGTGGGAATAACAACAGAAGAAGCAATGGCTGTAAACGAGAAAATCTCCCATGACTTGTAGCCAAACCATTTCCATTAAAAGTGGAAAAAATGACTGTGACTATTTTGGCACAATGATGACCTCTAGTTTGCCCTTCTCTAACCGTCCACGAGATTTAAGAATGTGGGTTTCTATTGGCTATCCTGTTTGTAGACCGACCTTTAATATGTTTTGTGGTTTAAAATATACTAAATCAATTGCATAATTGTTTATTTTGTTCATTTGGTTAATACTCAAAGGAACAAGGGAAGCAAAGTTCTATGAGTGAACACTATTATTCAATAGTAAACTACATACTTCCTACGGTTGGAAGTAATTTCCATCAACATACTATCTTTCTTGCTTTACATTCAATTGAGTTTCTTTGTTTTCGACTCATTAATTATCCTACATTGGAAGTATTGATCTTTTCACAATGGGTCACTGAATATCTCATTCCATTTGAATGAAATCAAGCAAACCGTAAGGGTACCTTGTTGCTTCAGTAGCAACATCACTATAATACACTTCTATAATCTACCTGGGTGTTTGTTTCAACTTTTATTCTACCTTTAGAAGCATTCAAGAGAACGGAAGCTCTAAATTAATGTTATCCACAAAATGACAATATTTTCATTATGGCTTACTGGGATAAGTAATTTTTGCCGAATCGCATCAAGAACTGAAATGGACAGGGGTTGGAGCTATTGCTGTCAAAATGTCCAGAAGAAATATATAGGAGAGCGAAATGGGAGATTTGGTCATCAAAAAGATGGGTAAAATTCCCTCTAGGGGAATTTGTCTGGCTTTATTTCACTTTTTATGCCTCGAAAAAATGTATTTTCATTAGAGATGAATGCGAAACGAACAATTGGGTGGTACAATGAGCATCCTTGTACCCCTTCATAAAATAATTCAAAATTTAATTAGTTTCAACGTGATGAACAAAAAGGCCTCTATTTTATTTGGATCTTCAGAACTAACTAGGTGATATTCCATTTATAATGGAATATATTGGCACATTATAGCATTTCAGGAATCAATTACAATATGAATAGCTACATAGGATAGTGTCAACTTATAATCTATTCCTCGTCTCGTGGTATAATCACGTTTTAGTTAGATTACGAAGATGCGATAAGTCAAACAGAGTGGTTATAATTAGGTTATCACACCTTAAGGCAATTTTTAGTATCATTGGTACCTAAATCACGCTTCTTACTTGCTAATGCACTTTTAAGCCAAATTTTAATGTGTTTTCTTGTGTGTTTTTTTTTCACGAAGGCGCGTTGTGAAAGTCAAATTTTGGATATGATCATGCGCCATCCAACTATTCACTCAATTGAGAATCAACTGTACGAATTTTGCTCAAAAATCTATAGTGAGGCAAGAACCTTCGAGAAATATGGCTTTCCCAAAGAGCTACGAGACCTGTTCTTGGAGCAAGGTAAGCGAGTAATTTAAAATTAGGTAAATATAACCTTATTTATGACGAGAATCTGACTTTAAAAATCCCCATTTTTCATCATTCCAATTAAAGCATTCCGTATTCCCATGGAAATTTGTGATTAACCTCATGTATTGTTATTTTGTAGTTTTTTTAATCATGAGTGATTAAGTCAACCAGTTAACTATTGATGGGTAAGAGAAACAAAGCCCAAACCGCTATTTGATAGGAATAAAAATAATTAAATAATTCATTTAGGCAGAGAAATTTCTCCGAAAACCGTATATTCTGAGCCAATAAAATGCAGAGAAGTTTCTCTCAAAGATGTTGGTGGCAAATTTAAGAAAATTGAAGCGGTTTAGTTGCATGTGATAGGCTCATAAAAGCAATTTGCCTATTTCTATCTCAGACTCTTGCAAAGAAAAATTAACTGTCAGGAAAATCTCGAATCAGATAGTAAATACAGGGCTCACTCTCTATCATTTTTGTCAGCTTTGCTTTATGAGACGAAAATTCGCTATGAAAATATTTATTTATTTATATCAAATGGCAAGCGTTTTGAAGGCTATCATTAGCCCTTTAGTTAACTTCAGGCTTCACAGAGGGAAAGAAACATCAAAGTGAAAGAAAGTCGAGAGGGGGAGGGGGGGGGGACAGAATAATGTTTCAAAGACGAAGGTAGAAAAGGTATGGAAAAGGTGAGATGAGCATTGGGGAAGTAGTCGACTATGGCATACAGTGGGGTCATGGTAGTTTGAAGTCAACTGCCAGGTAATAGACTATTTTGCCGTATGGGTATACGTTGCCCAGGGAGCACCACGTGGAGGTAAGTCTATCGCACACCATGCTATGAAAATTTCGTTTTCAGTTGATAGATATTCCTGCAAACTCATTAGAATTTTCCGTGACTTCAAGGGTATAATAAACCTGGAACAAAATTTTGGCATACACAGTGTCACAAGATGATTTCATAAATAGTCAGAACACCTAGAGTCATAATGGAATTAACTTTTGAAATAGTAGATTTTTGAAATTCACTATATAATATATGACCATTACTTAGTCAAATACCTATTTATCGGTGCTTTTAACAGACCCGTGGCACTTAAAATAACTCATAAAGGAAAATATAACTTATTTTAAATTTTAGTTGGGGTCTGTGGAATAGCTGGCTTTGAGGAAATCGCACGTTCCGATTGGCTAGACATAATACTCAAATGGCAAAGTCCCACTTCGGGTTGCTTCCACCAGTTTATCGGCGAAAGAATGAATCCAGAGAACTTCAACCCTTCGCGTTATGGCAACTATCGACGCAGAAAGAGAAGTGAAATGATGATGGATGGTGGAAAGAGTATTCAGGAGGTTTGTCTTGCGCATCGGACGGGTGTGGCTCTAATTGCTCTAGCGGCTTATACTCGACGAATCGTTGAGGAGAATCTTGATGTATGATAATATTATTCCACATCAAATCTTCCCATTTTCCCAGTGTTCAGAGTACAATTTATCACATTCCACTCCTATCAAATATTTATGATGGTTTCATTACTTTTATGGTAGTGGTTACCAGCCACCATAGGTCAGCAATAAAGAAATTTTCTCGGAATTTGTTTTTCCCTTTTAAATGCCAAAATGCAAATATATTTAAAATATTTCTAGTACAAAGTCTTGAATGATGCAAAATAAGGAAAATTCAAACATAAATGATAAGAAATAGGTTTTCAACAATTCTCAGATTCATGTGCACATATCTTTCGCGAATGTACAAGAATTGATTCTCTCAAGTATTTATGTTCGGCGAAAATTACTGTCAAGTTGTCTAATGCTATATATATATATATATATATATATATATATCTGCCTAATTTCAAACCCTTAAAAAGCTGGATGATCATACTTAAAACAAACGGCAAATAGCCCGCTTTTATCCGAGTGTTAAATCCATGTTTTAGAATCACAAGTCGGCATTCTATTCGTATTTAATCTAGTAATATTAATGTTGAAGAACCTTATAGACAGCACAGATTACGACCAATCACAATTGGCGTGAAAAAAATCGATGATTGAAATAGCCAATTCAATATTACTTATATCAAATTAACCTATTAGCTTCATTTTCATTTTCAGTATTCCGATCTATTATTGACATTTAGTCAAACTTCCCAGAAGAAATACTAAAATTATAAATAAGTGAAGTAAAAAATGAATATCCATCCATTATTTCTCTTTGTACTAATAAAAAATTGTTTTAATTTGCTGAAATTTTAAGTGAACTCAAAGTGCTCATTTTATGCTGATAATTACGAAAATTGGGATTATGGTTTAACGACTGCCTCATTAAGAACTACAAGGTGTCAAGGTGAGAAGTCTAGACGATACAAGCAAATTCGACGATTATCATCCTTCACGGTTATGAATGAAATAAATAAGCAAGTTTCACTTTATAATTTGCGGAGGGATTTGTAGATAGACATCTTCATTATGACAATATACACTCAAGTAATTTGACTGAAAAGAGAAATCAATGTTTTCAAGTTTTAGTGGGACAATTTGACATATGCTCAATTGGGGAATCGGAGGAATAATTCTGCTGCCGGATTATCATCTTCCTCAAATTTCTCGCCTGAAAGTCAAAATACTGAGAGGTGTATTAAGAATTTCTAGCTACCTAAATTATTATTATTATATCAAATGGCAGGCGTTTTGAATGTTATCATTAGCCCTTTAGTTGACTTCAGGCTTAACAGAGGGGAAGGAACATCAAAGTGAGAAAAATTCGAGAGGGGGGGAACAGAAGAGTGTATCAAAGACGAAGGTAGAAAAGGTGGAAAAAATATGAGATGAGTACTGTGAAGGGGTCGAATATGACATACAGTGGGGTCACGGTAGTTTGAAGTCAACTGCCAGGTAATAGACTTTGCCGTATGAGTATACGTTGCCCAGGGTGCACCACGTGGAGGTAAGTCTATCACATACCCCACTACCTGCATTATTATAATAAACTAGTTCCACACTCAGTTAATTCCACGCCTTTTTTCAACCCAAAACCAACTATGTGATAAAAAGGTATGTGCTAGATAGTCAACATTTGCGTAAAAATTAGCTAAGTTATTTTCGTACGAGGGTGTGCGTGAATTTAATCGTTTTAAAGACAAACAGAGATTTCACAACAGACAAATGCAGTAGCAAATATTATAAAATGAAGGAAAGGCAATGAATTTATTTTTACTATTTTATTTTCTATACATCCATAATCGTCTATGAAAGCCCATGAAGAAAAAAGAAATTCAAAGTACAGCAAATGGAAATACCGTCTGAATAGAGGCAAAGAGGTGGCAGTTGGAATAGTTGCAAGTACAGTTGATTTGAAAGCATGACTGTTAACTTCATCCTGACAACTGAATGGTTTCCTCAAAACTTATTTTCACCTCAACTATTGAAATTTGTTAAAAATAATGACGAGCTATCAATATTTTCTCATAATCAAGTTAATTTCCTAGCATTTTAAAGAAAAAACTTTGGATAACACCGTTTCTTACAATTAATGCACCCCAGTTGCATTCAAAACGCTTTAGAGGGTATTATTCTACTTATGTTTATGAACAACGATTTTTTCGATCAGGAATATATTCTTGAATTTTGCACCCAGAACAGTAGAATATAAAGCTGAAATTCAAATGAGTCCGAAAAATGTGACTTTCTACCATTTTCAGCTAATCATATTTGATCTGTCTGTTCTTTTTCTTCCTATTGGATCGTCCTACTGTTTAATTCATCTTCCTGTTAAGGTAATTACATTATATGGGTTGCATTTGGTATTATCAAATGCATAATACCAGTATGCATAATAGTTAAGATAAGATAAGTGAGGTTATTTATCTGTGCTATAAATTTTTCCAGTTAATGGGCAATCAAAACTAAAGCTACAGCATATTCATAAGCACAGTGAAGACAATTTCGTTTCTGTATATTACAACTTCAAAGGTTTTTCAACCAGAATATCTATCTCTCTGTTAATATTTTGTATTTATTATTCTAATTGGAAAATACCTTGAAATGATTAGAAACTTGAAATTGTCTCATGGAGATCATCAAGATAAAGGCGACGTTCATATTTAAAATTAGTTGAATAACATATGCACTGATTGCATTAACTTTGTATTATCTGTATTTATTACATACCAAAGAATGGTGTAAATAAATTTGGACAATTTTTTTAAAAAAAATGAAAAACTTATTATGCTCCTTTTGCAAAAGTGTACTCAAAAATCTAATTCCAATTTGATGCCAGTTTATGGAATAATAAATAATTTTAATGAAAAAAACAATGATAATTTATAGCTCCACTGTAAGATTTTACAAGGGAGTACCAAATTACCCACTATCGTATATAGTATCTACTATATGTATAAATTGGGAGTACGCGATAGACTTACCTCCACGTGGTGCACTCTGGACAAAGTATAATCAAATGGCAAAAAGTCTATCAAATCGGCAGTTGACTTCTGATTTCAAACTACTATGATTTGACTGCATGTCTTTTTTGACCACTTCCACAATACACACCTTACCAGTTCTCTCTACCTTTGTGTATGTCTCTGTTTCACCTCTCGACTTCTTTTGACTTTGATGTTCCTCCCTCCCCCCCCCCCTGAAGCCTGAAGTTAACTAAAGGGTTAATGATAATTATCATTAAGCCTGCCATTTGACAAATTTAATAAAAAACCTTTAATTCCACTCCAATTTAAGATTGGTATGAAACGAAATTATCAGCTTCGCATACGTACGCACTCGAAAACCTTGATGCCAACTTTCAGATTTAAAAAACCAGAAGCGAAACTAAGAATTGGCCTGGATTTATTAAGACTCTGTCTTTTCACATCTATTCGATATCCCTCTGATTGGCATCCATGCCATTTCTCGGGATTTAAATTTATTTTATTAAATTTCACAAAATTTTCTTACTTTGTCATGGAGACAAAATCTTGTTTCCTCCTTCCTCCATGTAAGCCTTGCTTCTTCAAAGGACCGATTCCTTTTTGCCTTCAATCAAATCCTTTGTTGCTATATATGTTTATATCAAACGGCAGGCATTTTGATGATTACCATTAGCCCTTTAGCTGACTTCAGGCTTCACAGAGAGAAGGAGGAACATGAAGGGGGTGACAGAATAATGATTCACAAATGTAACAGAAATGGATTGACAAAAATGCAGAGAAAAGGTAAGATGAGTATTGTGGAAGGGGTCGAATATGGGTTGATGGTAATTTGAAGTCAGAAGTCAACTGTCAGTTAATAGACTTTTTTGCTGTATGAGTATACGTTGCCCAGGGTGCACAACGAGGAGGTAAGTCTATCGCACACCCCTATTGCAATATATGTGATTTTTATTAAGGTATGCGGCTTGCAGGAACGAATTTGTATTCGATATGTTTGCTGCAGCAAAGCTTCCATTGCATTTTGCATCCGATTGCCATTTTAAAACATCAAATTGGACATTACGTAATTCATGACAGATTTATTTTTGGCCCCGCGATTTTTTTTATCATGAGAAAGATTTTTGAGCACAAGTGATGCCAAAAATGAAATTGACGGTAACAATAGGAATTAATTCAGTTTAATTATCGATTTACAGTGTCTTATCATCGTCTTGCTTAATAGGTAGTGATTTGATTCGATGCTCAAAATTAAGTAATTAATTAATTAAATTAATCAGTAGGTTCAACTATTAGTTCATGTTGACAGCATTTAGTGCTTATCAGCAAACGCACTTGACTTTACTAAAAGAAGCATTTAAAGAAAAGTCTAAATTGATCTCAAATATTACTATAATTGAATAATTTATTGAGGTCGCCTCTTTGTAAAAATTAGGCGTAATTAAATGTAAATATACTTCATTCTGTTAAATTCCTCCAAATGTTTTTTTTTCTCAATTTTTGTAAATCATGCTGTTTGGAGTTCTTATCACAGAAATTAAATCTCAGCTGTAATTTTGGCATTCGTTTAGTACTAATTCAAACAAAAAATAGGTTATCTTAAAATGCGATCGAAATTTCATACCCAATAATTCTACGTTTAAACTAGACGCAAATTTCATTTAAAATGAAAATCGTTTGCCCTATTCACCTAAGCGTTTGAATTTGAGTATTTTGAGCTTTCGAAAGATTTGTTTATTAATCTAATTTTAATTGACAATATTACATCATAATATATTTTTTCCTGGCTAAAAAATTCTTCCAAAATAAAAAATATGATAAGAATATCCAAATTTCTGATATAAGTGCAAGTTTTCTTTAAAAGAAACCCAAATTAGATTCAAAAATGTAGATAAACTTTCAAAAAAGACAACCTCTGCGATGAGATGAATTTTCACAAAGTTAGCAGTGATCCGTTAGATGAAATGGTTGAAATAATTTAATGAATGACAACATATACATGATTAAAAAAACTGA